CTTCCAACAAATCTCTAACAATTTTTTTTTTTTTTCTTGTCTCTTCCTGTTCTGGAATGCTTATTGTTGTTGTTATGTGCCATCGAATTGGACCTGACTCATAGCAACCCCTCCTTGGGTTTCTGAGGCAGTATCACTACAGAAGTAGATTGTCCAACCTTTCTTCTGAGGAGTGGCTGCGGGGTTTGAACCACCAGCTTTCTGGTTAGCAGTCAAGTGCCTTAGGCACTGTGCTACCAGAGCTCCGGGAATGCTTATTATATGTAAGTTGTTCTTCTTGATGGTGTCCCACATAAATCTTAGGTGTTCTTCCTTTTTTTTTTTTTGATGCTTTTTCTAATTACTCCTTTACCACACTAATGACTCTGGCTTCAGTGCCACTGATTTTTTTCTTCTGTTCATTTTATTTTATTCCTTTGGCCTATCAATATGTTAATCTATTTCTGAAATCGTAGAATTAATCTTCTGGATGTCTATTTGGTATTTTTGTATAGTTCTAGTTTTTCATTATTTTGTCAGTTTGTTCTTGTATTGTTTTCCTAAATTCTCTGAGTTTTTTTTTTTTTCTTTGTGTTTCCCTTGATTTTTATCAATATTTCCCTTTAGCTGTCTCTTAATCTATTTAAACCAAACCAAATTCACTGCCACTAAGTCGATTCCAACTCATAGCAACCCCTCTTGGGTTTCTGAGGTGATAAATCTGTATGGAAGTAGATTGCCCCATCTTCCTTCTGTGGAGCAGCTGGTGGGTTTGAACCACCAACCTTCTGGTTAGCAGTCAGATAGATGCCTTAGGCACTATACCATCAGAGCTTTAAGGTAACTAAATACAATTCTTTTGAATTGTTTATCAAGTATTTCCAGTCCCACTTTTTCCTCAGGAGGTTTTCTGGCTCTGTATTGTGTTCTTGTTTCTCCTGCTTTATGTTTCTTCTTTGTGTGGACTAGGATTTTCACTTTTATTCTGAGATATGTGATGTCATTGTATTTATATTTAATTGGTGATTGTAAGTTAGTGTGATTTTTTTTTTCCCCTTGTTTTTTGTTTTCTTTGTTTCATTTTGATAGATCCAAGTAAGCAGGGTTGTTGGCTACACTGTTTGGTAGTTTGGCAGTATTAGGCACTCATCACCTGTGTCTTGGTGGGTGTTATAGAGGATGAGAATGTGTGCACAGATCTCTGTTAGCTGTTTGTGTAGAGCAGTTGTGACAATAGATTGACTCTCGTATCATTGGTCAATTGCATTAGCAGATGGTAACAGCCCTTCCACAGTGGATGCAGCTATAGGAAGCATGGATGTGGTTGGGTTGTGAGGCCACCAAAGCTGTTTTCCACATGGTGGGACAAAAACCAAACCAAAACAAAAACCACTACCAAAATAGTGAAAATGAGAATAGAAACACAAAAAGTTTATAAAGAAACAATCACTGATACAAAATAAATAAATAATTGAAAAGAACAACAACAAAAAGAAGAGGAAGAAGAAAGAGTATATGGCTTTAACAAATGGGGATTTACTCTCTTATGGTTTTGGATGCTAGGAGTCTGTGTTCAAAGTGCCAGCTCTGGGGTTGGGTGAAGGCCCCTTGACCTTGGGCTTCAGCTCTGCCTCTTGCTCCCGGCCCACTGGAGCTGGAGGCATCTCTTAACTCAGGCAGCTGTTGGCTGCTTGGGTTGATAGACCCAAGGCTGACAAGTAAAATTGCACAGTGTTAAGATTAGCGAGGAAGGAAGGTTGGGCAATCCTACTTCCGTAGTGATACTGCCTCGGAAACCCAAGGAGGGGTCGCTATGAGTCGGGGCCGACTCGACGGCAAATAACAACAACAAGATTAGCGAGTAATAGGGCAGGCCACTAGTGTAAGTCCAGAAACAATCCCAAGATCGTCAGGCAATATGGCAGGCTGCTGAATGAAGACTTGGCTAAATTCAGGATCCAAGTGTGCAAAAAAAGCTCAAGGCCTTCCTCAAAAGTTCTTCTTATACACAGGAAGCAGACCACATCCCTAAGGCTGCTCACTCAGCTGCTCACAGTAGATTCCACTGTAGAGTTGATTGCCAGTCTGATCATGGGGAATAATAATTAATGTAGCTTTAGATTAAGTCTTGAAGTGGTGTAGTGTCAGTGTTCCCACTTTGTCATTCTTTGGTATTGTGTTGAATATTCTGAAGTTTTGTTCTTTTCATATAAATGTTAGAAAGTGTTTATATTTACAAAATAACTTACTGGGTAAATAAAATAAAAAGTGTTTATATTTACAAAATAACTTACTGGGTAAGTGGCATCTGAGTTCAGAATGCAGGTTTTTTTTCTTGTTTTGAGGAAAGTAGTGGTAACTTTCACGCTCTTTACATATCATCAGAAACTGGAAATCATCATTTGTGGTTTGTATCAATGACTTTGTTTTCTTTTCTTTTACTTTTTATTGTAATTTGGTTGGAAACTTACAGAGCAACTTAGTTTTCCATTAAACAATTCGTACATATTTTCTTGATAACTTTGACTCCAGTTCCCACAATGTAAAAGCAATCATCCCACTTCCTCCATGTGTTTCTGTCTCCATTCACCCTTCCCCTCCTGCCTTCTGGACTTTGTAGTACATATAAATACATATGTAGAAATAACTGTGTCAGACCTATATATAATGGTGGGTGTAGTCCCATTCCCCTTCCTGCACCGGTTCACTTTGAATGTTTATGTATGTAACCACTCATAAATTATTGTTAATTACTGTTACTTCAGGATTGTGTATGTAATAGCATTTACCTCTGTTGCTTTTAACTCATATGTCCTTCCCAGAGTCTTCTTTGCCTTAATCATTTTGCTCTGACCCTCCCCCTTTTTATTGCCTTTCCCTTCACCCAAGTTAATATATGTTGACCCTGTAGTTAGTGATTTACCCTTCCTTTCCCTCCCTTTCTTGACATTTATGAGTATCTGAAATGTACATGAATGTTTGCAGAATTATCACAGTCTGCTTCCAAGTTTTGGGAATTGAAAGTGTGATTTGTGTTTTTCTTACCACATCAGGGTTGACTACTGTTTTTGAAAGTGATTATTTTGCTTTTCCCTGCACTAACTCACTTAAGATAAATAAGCTTGTGTTACTTGCTGCTTATCATCTTACAACCCTTAATTTTTTTGTAGAACTTACCACCTTGATATTATATTTGTGTATTTACGATCCATTCCAAAGAATTTATATCCATCTGCATCAGGATATTTCTCTTTTATTCACTGCTTTCTGTACTTTGCCCACAGAAGTAAGCTTTGTGTCAATATTACCTAAATCAATTTTATAAATGAAGGAGCTTGAGGTAAGTATTTAAAGGGAAGCAGTCTTGCCTGATATATGGGGCTTTGTCAGGAGAAGGAGCTCCAGGTTGTCTAAATTGACTCTCCTCTTCTTAATGTGTAGCAGAGCTGTAGATCTTCCATGGTATTATTGCCAAGTAACAACAAAACTGTGTGCATATGAGTACAAAAGTAGTCAGGAACTTGGGCTTCAAAGGCATATTGGCCCTGCATTTTGACCCTAGCTCAGCAACATTTCAGTTTTGTAACATTGAGCATGTGATTTATTATCTGTAACTTTCCTTAAGGAGTTCTGGTAGCGTAGTGCCTAAAACACTTGACTGCTAACCAGAAGGTTGGCAGTTCAAACCCCCCAGCCACTCCTTGGAAGGAAGGTTGTACAATCTACTTCTGTAGTGATACCGCCTTGGAAACCCAAGGAGGGGTCGCTATGAGTTGGATCCAACTCAGCATGTGACAACAACAGCTTTCCTTAACCTTTTTTTTTTTTTTTTTTAAATAGCTATTTAGGAAAGTCATTATGAGAAATAAGTGAGTAGTATGCCAGGCTTTATCCAGAACCTTTAATAGTTTTTGCAGAACCTTTAGTAGTAGTAGAATCTGTATATATGCTCACAACGTGGAATATTTTATTAGATATCTTTCAATATGTAATCTGCACCTCTGTAATGGAGGAAGCTTGAATTTTGGCTGTGGGTCAAAGTTTGTTGTGACTCCATCATATCTGGATTGATTAGAGATAACCTAGGCAGCCCATATGACCCTGTCCCTGACAAGAACCTTCCTATTCTATAGCTGCTCTATTCAGTCCAGTGATGGCATCAAAAGTGTAGTGTTGCAGCTATTTCTCCTCTTATTATATACGGAAGCCAGTGGGTAATTTTATTTCATAGAGGCTAATCCTACAACCCAGGGGATGCCAGTGGTCAGAGTTTGGGTAGTCATGCTTGCTTGACTTCCAGTTAGGTACAAATGTGGGGGGTGGGAATTAGAGTAGAGCCTCTAGATGGATGGTTTGCATATTTCCGTTTCTTAGGATTCACAGGGAATTTAACAGCTAAATCCCTTTGCACTTCAGTTAACTTACAAAATGACATTTTTGTATGTGGACACAATACATATAACAAACATTTGTCAGTTCAATAATAACTCAGTGACATTGACTACATTCAGCATGATTCTTGTGAAGAAAAGACTCTTTGTCCTTTTAAAATATTAGCTTGTGTTTCTGTGGGTATATGGTGTGTGTTTGTTGAGGGGATCTTTCACTAATAAGTGATGCACGGTAGCATCAGGTCTCAAAAGTTTGATAATTGTTGAGAGATCTAGATTCTCGTATTTCATGTCTCTTACCTGAACTTTGTTTAACTTTTCAATACACTTGCCTGAGTCCATGAAAGGGACAGAGAGGATGATGACAGTGCAGTTGCTGAATTACTGAAATACAGGTGACAGAAGTGTAAAAATTAAAAGTTCTCAAAAATAATATATGCTATTTTCAGCAGGTTGTCCTGTCACCCCCTGATTATTTGGAGTTTTTCCAAGAAAATACAACCATGTCAGGGTCTTGGGTTGCCTGGTTGTTTGTATGGTCCTTTGGGCCACCCATGAATGGTAAGGGGCAAAAGGAAAAAGCTGCCAATCCTATAGTGTTTCCCTTTTAACATCTCATCCTGCTTTCAGGATGTGATGAGAGCACACTTGTGATTCACATTTTGTTGGGAGTTCTGGTGGGTTTGTGGAATGAGGTAAAAAATCATACTTTTCATTAGGGAGTGATATGAATGTGAAAATAACACTTTTATTTGTAGAGCATTTCTCTAATTTCTGTGATGCATTCTGACTGTCAAAACCAAACCCACCCCACTGCCATTGAGTCGATTTCGACTCACAGTGACCCCCATTGGGTTTCTAAGGTGGTAAATCTTTACAGGAGTAGATGCCCCTTCTTCCTTGCCTGGAGTGGCTGATGGGTTTAAACCGCCGACCTTCTGGTTAGCAGTCAAATGCCTTAGACAGTTTGCCACCACTAGATCATAAAAAGAAGAATAAGAGGAATTGGTCATATTTAAAATATGGATAGGTAAGCTTGGCTCAGTGTGTTTGGAGTATTGTTTTATCTATGAAGTAGGATGCAATAAGTGAGGAAGTGAAAGTAGACAGTGAAGGGAAGAGGGTGATGACTAAACCCTAGAGTAGATATTAGTACTAGAAGACAGAATCTTGTGTATAATCTCTGTGATTCCGTCAGCTTCATGCATCCTTTTGCACACATTAGAGTATATGGTACTTTGCTGAACTAGTATATGTGGGATGTTTTAGGACTCAGTGATCATTGAGGATGTGGCTGTGAACTTTACCCAGGAAGAGTGGGCTTTGCTGGATGTTGCTCAGAGGAAACTCTACATAGATGTGATGATGGAAACCTTCATAAATCTGGCCTCAGTAGGTAAGGATGGCGTCCTTTTTTAAAGTGTATTCATTAGGTCTCTAATAAACAAATATATAATACCTATTGACTTTGCTTCAGCATTTGGGAATGCATTGTTAAATAGGACAGATGTCTTATGTTCTATGTATCTTAAATATCCTGACTTCCACATGAACAACAAAATACTCTGTATTAAACTGACTCTTTATTTCTCTTGTGGTTAAAACTCTTAAGGCCCTTTAAGTGTAGTAAATTTTACCATTTGTTTCTGGGGTCACATTGAGCCACAGAGAGATCTGTGGTTTGAGACCTTGTAAAATGTTCTCCTGTGTTTATTACAAATTGGACATGATTGTTTTGCTGCAAATAAATTCACACTTGCTCATCTCCAGAAGCTCTGAAGACCAGAGTATTGCTTCAGTGTCAGGAAAACGTTCATTGCTCTTAACTGTCTTCCCTCACAATACGTCTTTCTCTATGAGCACCATGTCAGCTACACCCATGTGTTTTTACCATGGAATCAAGAAAGATGTCAGGAGAGTAGAGGTAGGATTTATCCAGGGCTACTCTGTTGGGGAGGATCAAGAAGGCCACAGTCTTTTGAAGGGCCAGTGTTCCACAGAGGAAATTAGAGTTGGACAAATCATTTAGGAAATGTATTTTTGGTTGAGGAGATTGGATTTCTCAGATACCTAAGCTTACTTTTCTGCCTTTCATTAATCTTCTCACAACTCTGTTCATGGACTAATTCCTCCCCATTTTCCTATTACATGTACATTTAGCATTTCCATGTTACATGTGCATTGTATCCATTAGTTTTCTACTTTGTTATCCTAATTACGCAGTATGTCACTGTCATGTTCTATTTTCATCGGAGTATTTCCTGTTACATAGCCATTACCAGAGTCCTCGAACAGTCAAATGCCTCAAGTTTTATCTTTGTTTACAGCTGCTTTTCTCCTCCTAATCATTTTTTTCCCTTTTGTTTCATATTGTAAACCTCAACTTCAATCATTGGGTCAGTTTCTCGAAACCTTAGTGATGGAGAAAAATTTTCCAGTGAACATACAGTAGTGCGATTCATGAAGAATGACACCTGGTCCTCCATGTTAGGAGAAATCTATGAATTCCGTGGTATTGAAGATCAGCATAACAATCAGGGGAGTTATTTCAGGTGAGTGCCCTTTGTACAAGAGAAAGCAGACCCTCAGTAGAAAGTCTGAAAGTATCTTGACGTTACAATATAAATACCTAAACAATTTCTAAATTATGTGTTCAGAGAATTTTCATAATACAATATTTTCATAAATGTGAGTCTTATGTTGAATATTGGAAGCATGTTTTACTCATACACAATACTCAGAAAGTCTCAAATTTTGGATAATCTGTGACAGTAATAGTAGCATCTCTGCTCACTTATTCAACCTACGAGACATAATGTAATTTAGGACAAAAAAATGTACATGTTCACTGTGTTTGGTGATTTTGAAATGGTAACATACTTATTTCTAACAGTACGTTTCCTATTTTTAACAGAAGGCATATAGTAGAGAACCTCCATGAAAATAATGAAGGTAATCAATATGGAAAAACTTTCAGTCAGATTCCAGAGCTCAAAAGAACTATTGAGGTAAATCCTTCTGCATACCTTGAGTGTGGAAGATCCTTTATATACCCTTCGTCACCTAGGAATTGTATCATATCTGAAACTGGATGCAGTACTTATCAGTGTACGGTATGTAGAGAAACCTGCAATTGTCCTTACCTAAGCACCCCTGTGAAGAATTTTAGTGGAGAAAAGCCCTATGTATGTAACCGATGTGGGGGAAATTTCTGTAGTTTCTCGTCCTTTCAAACACATGTGAGAGGTTGTAAGGGTGAATATAAAGAATACTGGAAAACCTGTCCCTCATCACTCAGTTTACATAAAAAATTTCGTAGTGCATATAAACCTTATGAATGTAAGGAATGTGGTAAAGCATTTCGTCATTCCTCAGCCCTCATTACACATATAAGAACTCACAGTGGAGAGAAACCTTATGAATGCAAGGAATGTGGGAAAGCCTTTAGTGATCCCTCATCTCTCACTACACATGTAAGAATTCACAGTGGAGAGAGGCCTTATGAATGTAAGGAATGTGGGAAAGCCTTTACTAATTCCTCAGCCCTCACTAGACATACAAGAACTCATAGTGGAGAGAGACCTTATGAATGTAAGGAATGTGGCAAAGCCTTTAGTGATTCCTCATCCCTCACTACACATTTAAGAACTCATAGTGGAGAGAGACCTTATGAATGTAAGGAATGTGGAAAAGCTTTTAGTATTTCTTCATCCCTCACTACACATATAAGAACTCATAGCGGAGAGAGACCTTATGAATGTAAGGAATGTGGGAAAGCCTTTACTGGTTCTTCAGCTTTCACTACACACATAAGAACTCACAGCGGAGAGAGGCCTTATGAATGTAAGGAATGTGGGAAAGTCTTTAGTCAGTCATCCTCTCTCATTACACATATAAGAACTCACAGTGGAGAGAGACCTTACGAATGTAAGGAATGTGGAAAAGTCTTCAGTAATTCCTCAGCCCTCACTACGCATATAAGAATTCACACTGGAGAGAAGCCTTATCAGTGTGAGGAATGTGGAAAAGCCTTTAGTCATTTCTCAAACCTCACTAAACATATAAGAACTCATAGTGGAGAGAAGCCTTATGGATGTATGGAATGTGGTAAAGTATTTAGCCGTTCCTCACACCTCATTAGACATATAAGAACTCACAGTGGAGAGAGGCCTTATCAGTGTAAGGTATGTAGGAAAGCCTTTACTGACTCTTCATCCCTCACTAGACATATAAGAATTCATAGTGGAGAGAGGGCGTATCAAGGAAAGCAATGTGGAAATGCCTTTATTCACTCTTCAGTTCTTAATGAGCATCATTAACGTCATAGTGGAGAGAATTTCTGGTTGTAAGGAAACTTATTACTCATATCTCCTATCTAATAGAATACAAAAGAAGACATAGTGGAGGAAACCATATGAATGTAAGTAATTTAGATGAGTTTTTAGTCATTCCTCTTTCTTCTGTAGACATACTAAATCAAATTGGAGAGAGTCTTTATGCATATGAGGAATGTGTGAAAGTCACTCTTACAACCTATCTAGTAGAATACGAAAGAAGACATAGTGGAGGAAACCATATGAATATAAGTAATTTAGATGAGGTTTTAGTCATTCTTTTTCCTTCTGTAAACATACCAAATCAAAGTGAATAGAGTCTTTATGGATATAAGGAATGTGGGAAAGTCTTCAGATGTCCTTCATTCTTTGGATCACATGAGTAGGTATTCTGGAGAGAAACAATATATGTCAAAGTAACATTGGATAGCATTTCTCCATCATCTTTTCCCAAATCTGAAAGTATGTACATGACAGAGAAGCCATGTAAATGAAAGGAATGTGGTAAAATTTTTCTTTTTCTCCCTATGCTTTCAAAGATAATCAAAAGCACACAAAAGCACTCTAATTAACTCAACAGAACTTTTGACAAGTCACACTGGAGAGACTTCATGTAAATGTAAGGTGCATGGATGGCAACATACACGTCCTTTTCCATTCTCAAACATGTGAGATACTAAACTGTGGATTGATTCTATGAATGTTAAAGATGAAGGAAGCCTTCATTGTCCCTCCTCCCTCAGAACCTCAGACACTGGAGAGACCATGGGACTATAAGCATTGTGTGAAAGCCATTAATCACATTAGTTCCCTTTTTGTACACAGGGAAATTCATACAAAGGGAGGAGTTTTTTATTTTCTTTTAAAATTTTTCTTGTGATTCGGGTGAAAGTTTACAGAACAAATTCATTTTCCATACAGCAGTTCAGACACACTTTGTCTCATGAGTGTAATTCCCCACAGTGTAACAGCTCTCTTCCCACTTCCTCCCTGTAATTACCTCTTCTCTGTGTCCTTTCCTCACGTGCAATCCTGCCCTCCTAAGCTGTCTCCCAGTGCAAGCACTGCCTTTCTGTCCTCCCACAATTGATCACTTCAGGGAGTGTATCTGCCTGTGCCTCATGTAAATATTCAGCCCATATGCCTGTCTGTTTTTTGGCTGGAAGCCACAGGAGTGAGTGCAATTTCAGACCTGAAGGGTAACTAGGGGCCATAGTCACCAGGCTCTTTGTCAGACCAGCAAACTTGGTCTTTTTATTTTTTTTGTGATTTTGACTTTTGTTCCACATTGTTCTTTCCTTCAATCCAGGATCTCTTGCACTAGTCCCCGTCAGAGTGGTTGACAATGGTAGGCGGGCACCAACTAGTTGTTCTGGTGTCTTGGTTATATAGGTTGATAATTGCATGGTCTACCAGTCCCATGGACTAATTGTTTCCATGAATCTTTTTGTTTCCTCATTGTTCTTCGCTCTGGACAAGGAGAGACCCATTGTTGCATCTAGATGGCCACTTGCAAGCTTTTAAGATCCCAGTTGCTACTTGTCAAAGTAAGATGTGGAACAATGTTTTTGTGTAATATGTTATTCCAGTTGAGCTTGATGTCCCCTATGACCATGGTCCCAAGCCCGCGGGTCCAGCTACTCGCTCTCTCCAGGTAGCTGGCTGAGGTTAGGAAGCCACCACAACCTTGCCCCTTGTCAGGTCTACTGTACACCTGGACATTGTTACAACACATACCAATACACATGTAGAAACACTGTCTGCTAACCCTGTACATGGTTCTGGGCACACTCCCCACTGCCTAGACATACCTGATCATTCAGCCTGTTCGCATCCATCCACCTGTAGATCAATGCTTGTTATCACTGACGACACAGTACTATACATGCAGAAGGGTTCATCTTTGTTGTCTGTACCTCCCACGTACCTCTCCATGTCTTGGGAAGAATCTTTTAAAAGTTACAGATGTAGAATTTACTAATGTCTTTAACTGTAGGAACTTTAATTTCTACTTTTTCTGATGTAAACATTAGGGTGATAAATATCACTCTAAGACCAGTTTTAATTCTTTAGAGTGAATTTTAATAAGTACAGTTTGTAGTTTTGTTTTTCATCATTTGTCAAGTTTTAATATTTTATAATATAATGCAATATGTTCTCAGTGTAGAAAATTTATTTTAATGAAAAGAGTATGGAAAAGCAAAAGTCACTAGAATGTCACCACACTTGTTTTGGGAAGTTTCTTTCAACCTTCCTTGTGTGCACAGAAGCAATGTTACTGATACTATTTTTGTCTAGAATCATAGTGGGCATGTTTTGGATCACATCTCCTTTAATCTCTCAACTGCTGCCATGATTCCTGAGTTACTGATGATGAAATTGTAAATGTTTTAACTCATTTCCACCATCTCACAGATGGGTGCTACTCTCAAATGGCAGTATAAAGTAGGAGGTTTTGCATGGAAGGACAGCTCATTCTGGGGCCCAAGGCAATGAAATGATACCAAAAACACAAGCAACAAAGAAAAAATTGGATAAATTGGACTTCTTGAAAAGTGAAAACTTTCGTACCTCAAAGGACATTTATTGGAAGTGAAAAAAGAACTGCCAGAGTGGGAGAAAATATTTGTAATACATCTGATAAGGGTCTAATATCTAAAATATATAAAGAACTCTTACAACTCAACAGCTAAAAGGCAAACTACCTAATTTAAAATGGGCAAAGGACTGCAATGTGAATAAACCTCAAACATTTTATGCTAAGTAAAAGAAGTTGAAGGCAAAAGGCCGTATAGGGTATGGGTCCATTTGTAGGGTATATGCAAAGTTGGCAAATCCATAGAGACAGGAAAGAGATTAGTGGTTGTCAGGGGCTGGAGGGCGGGAGGAGCAGAACATACCTATTTCATGGATACAGGGTTACCTTTTGGAGTGATGAAAATGACTTGGACTAGATAGAGGTGATGGCTGCACAATATTTCTTAATGTATTAAATGCCATTGAATTTACTTTAACTTCATTAATTTTATGTTATAAGAGTTATGCCTTAATAAAATCAAATTATAACAAGAAGACTAAAAAACTCCAGGGCAAAAAATGATCAGATTCAAAGGAAACGCTTCCTCTGCTATGCACACAAGAACTGCTCCTTTCCATAGAACTGCAGGCACAGGGCCTCTGCTAAGCCCACTGCACTCAGGTTGCCTCCAGTCCTTTGGAGCTCTTGTGAGGTGTTAGGTGATTTCACAGGTGGAGTCTGGCCCAGGGCCTCATGGTCAGGAGACTTCCATCGGGAAGGTCTTCACCTCTAGCCACATAGCAACTGTCGCCTGCATCGGAAAAGAGGGCATGAAGGTAGGAAATCACAAGCGTGGGTCCAGCAGTACATAGATAAGAGGGCTTAGGCTCAGGGCAGCTGCCTTCAAGAGCCCTCAGTGGGGCCTGGTGTCAAGATGACTGCCCACAGATTCTATGGATCTGAAGAGTGAGTGTGTACAAGTGGTTGTATGTGCATTGGATGTGTCAGAGTTTCATGATTAGACAGACCTTGGTATCAGTTTTACCTATAAAGTCTTTGGTGGTGGTGGTGGTGTTGGCACTGAGACCTCTCAGGAGATGGACTGACCCCTTGGAGGGTGCCACATACAGTATGATAGGGGCAGAGAGAGGGGAGCTTAGCAAGGACTCAGGAGACAGAGTGGGGAAGTGGCCCAGCCTGTGGATGGTGGGGATGGGAGGTATGTCTGTAGGAGGATTTCCTAGTCCATGGAGCAGAAGTGGGTGGGGACCAGCAGTCTGGATACCCAAATTCAAGTCCAGTACCACCATCATCATTATGGAGCATTCCTGAACCTCCTTGTCCCTTTCAGCAGATGGTCTTGACCACATAAGGTCAGACACAGCTGGACAGTTTTTGGGGTGTCCCCGAGTGTTGATGTGTGCAACTGTAGCCTCGGCCTATCCAAGTACAGGACAGGGGCTTTCTACCTCCCAGGAAAAGCTCTGGGCATGAAAGTGAGTGGCCCTCTGGTGCATGATGTAGTCTGACACACAGCAGAAACCCAGTTTGGAGAGAGGGCACATTGCTCTTGGAGCCTCAGTCTCACATTCCAGAAGACTCTAAACCCCACAGAACCTCTTTGGGTGTTCTGGTAACTCCATCTCCTCTCTAGTTCCACCTCAGCTGCTTTCTGCAGGCCTTTGCCCTCCTCACCAGGGTCACTGCAGCCCCAAAGATTCTCCCTTAATTTGTCTGGCCTCCGTCTACTTGCACCTTAGGGCTGCAGGAGCTTTAGAACATGTGACTCTACCTGCCACCATCTTCTTAGGGCTCCTTTGCCTCCCAGATGGCTGCCCCTCTCCTGGCGCCTGGCTTTTGCAGCAGCTTTGCCAGGTCAGCTCTGACTCTGCCCCACCTCTCCCACTTAGCCATGGCTCACATGGCACACTTCTCAATGACAGGTGACAGAGCCGGGCTGGGAAACTAATGTGAAAAACAGAATGACCTGCTTGACCCTCAGGAGTTCACTGTCCAACAAGAGGGAAGAGAGGCCTGGGGCATGACAGGGACAGAGAAGGGGTTCTGTCCAAGTCCTCAGAGCCGTTGGCTGTTCCAGGCCTTCTTAACTGGGTCATAAGTTCAACCCCAACCATTGTCCCAGAGCTTTGACGAATATTAGGCCCTCCCTGTCAGATCTCTGTCTGCCCTGTGCCTCCCTTGATGGCACTACACATCTCAGCTCCAGACCACCCAAGTCTCCACCCTCAGCTCTGGTTTGGCCTGCCCAGAAGGGGGATTTCTGGTAACCTGCTGCCACTGCAGGTGCTCAGCCGGACCTGGAGAATGCCTTGTTCCATCCTGGAACAACCCATCACCACCTTCTGACTCACCCATCGGAACCATCCTTAATTTCCTCCTTACTCTGCCACTCTTAAAGGGGACTTCTGGCAGGGGTGTGGTTGAGGCTGGAAGATTCCAAGTCGACCCTGATTTGTGCTCTGAACTCTAATACCCT